TATAGTTTTCGAAAGTTTTATCACTTTTTGTTTATAATTGACATTTTTACAGCAACTTAAAAAAATTGGCGTTTTATACCGTTTTTTCAATCTCACGGCTTTGTTATTGCAAATTTCGTAATCGGACCACCGCCATTTTGTAGCTATTTTTATTACAAACAAAATCATGTCCTAAGCATTTTTTCGTACAAAGTCATCCCGCTGAGTTATTTAAAGAAAACTACTAAAAAAAATTTTTTTCACGATTAAATTATTAATAACTTTTTTTCCTGATAAAATATTTTGTCAGCAAATTAGCCTGTTATTGTACTCGTCATTTAAAGTATTCCTAGGCAGTTATTTCCGAGTTATCAAGAAAATGTCACCAACAGTAACTTTTCGGCCTCTGCCGACTGGAGTAATAGGTATCCTTGCTCATTCAACAGTCTGTTTGTTTCAAACATATAATTTCTTTAAAAAATTACACCTGCATATTAATTTTAAATCTGTGCTGTGTGTCCATTACACTATCCGTACTAACGATTGCCATGAAAAAACATCTAAGCAATAATATACTTATCTGTCATCAGGAACTGTCATTTTATTTTTAATATTTGAAATATTAATTAGTGTTTGTAAAAAAATGAATGAATATTCAAGTCTTATCAGAAGGACGGTCTCCCATTCAACAGATTTTCTATAAAACGATATACTATACTGACTTTCAACAAGTACACTTTTATGGAATCTAAAAATGAATCCCAAATGATTATTAGTTTGGGTAAAAATTCCTGCCTTACTACCCATTCCTACGCCACTGACCTACAAAAATTTGTAAATTTTACAGTATAAATTATACACATTGTGCAAATGTTAACACCACAACAAATTTTAATCAATTTGTTATAAACATACCAAAGATTTCGTAAATAATATGATTTTAACAACCGACCAATTAATAATTCCTTAAAGTATGGTATGTTTCCTGACCAATTAAAATTAGCTGTAATAACCCCAGTGTATAAAAAGGGTGATCCTAAAAATATGTTAAATTATAGGCCTATAAGTTTATTGTCAGCCTTTGCTAAATTATTTGAATTAATAGTTTATTCCAGAATAATGAACCATATGTCATCTGCTCAGTTATTCTCTGAAACCCAACATGGTTTTTTAAAGGGCAGGTCTACGAGTACAGCCATTTATCATTTTAATTATAAAATTGTACAGTGCCTTGAAAATAATGAAGTGCCTCTGGGGCTTTTCCTTGACTTGTCACGAGCATATNGCAATAATATACTTATCTGTCATCAGGAACTGTCATTTTATTTTTAATATTTGAAATATTAATTAGTGTTTGTAAAAAAATGAATGAATATTCAAGTCTTATCAGAAGGACGGTCTCCCATTCAACAGATTTTCTATAAAACGATATACTATACTGACTTTCAACAAGTACACTTTTATGGAATCTAAAAATGAATCCCAAATGATTATTAGTTTGGGTAAAAATTCCTGCCTTACTACCCATTCCTACGCCACTGACCTACAAAAATTTGTAAATTTTACAGTATAAATTATACACATTGTGCAAATGTTAACACCACAACAAATTTTAATCAATTTGTTATAAACATACCAAAGATTTCGTAAATAATATGATTTTAACAACCGACCAATGCGGCTCTGTACAGTGGAACATCGTGAGACTTAACATACAAGAAATTTTACATGTTAAACAATGCACAGTTGGTAACACTACTGCAAACTAAACAAATTGCAGCAATTCTGTCCCATTGTGTGATAATAAGCATGCAATTTTATCCCTGCAACAAAATCCCCGCAATTTTGTCGCTGCAACTAGATTGCATTGTCTGATACAGGCTTTAGACCCTTGCTTTATAAAGCAATTCTGAATTATTTATTGAGTTCTATTTGTGGTTAAAGTTTGATTTTCTCGAACTGAAACACACTGTATAACAAGAACCTTAATCAGTTTAAATTTTTTTAATAAGAATCAAGAAAAACGTGCATAAAGGGAACCTCGAAGGAAATTGTTATATTAGAGTGAGTAAATGTCCACAAGATGTTTCCCTTGAATATTTTGAAACAGTCACTTGAGAAATTTGAAAATGTTATACAGGAAGTTCTTAAAGTAAAATTTTCCTTGAGATTTCCTGTATTTAATGGGGTGTTTGCAACCTTTCCATGTTACCACAAAAAGATGTGGTAAAACTTGCTCTGTATTATTTTATTTTTTTAAGAAATCATTTAATTCATCCACCATATTCATCATTCATTAACATTCATTGTTGAATAGTATGCAGTGACAAAATACTACATATTTTATTACCAGCATAAATAAATATTACAATTGTACAAAATTCAAATAAAACTTTGCAATAGTGGAAAATAGGAATTTAGTCAGTGCCTACTTGGTTCTCTCTTTACTTTATGACACGTAATCTTAATCAGAAACAAGCAAAGCGATTGTTTAAAAAAGTACAATGCGATTGGCTTGCAAAAAACTCAAGTGTTATGTGATTTTCAACATACATTTCAATAAAAGAAAATGAATTTATTAATTATTCATAGCTTTCTTTAATTAAATATTCAAAAACATCACCATTGACCTCTAAACACTTTCTGCTTTATCTATGAAGAACGTCTATAGCTCTCCTGATTGCTCCATGTCTTTCTTTCATAAATGCTGCATTATTGATGATACGTCGAATTAGTACCTCCCGAGTGTTCACTTTGTGCACTTCATTTTTGAACCAGCCCCATAAACAGTAATCTAGTGCTGTGAGGTTTGGAGATCTTGGAGGCCAATTAATAGGACCACCGCGGCCATTCTAACGTCCTGGAAACCTCTCGTTCAAATGTAGCTCTATCGTGCTGGTAGTACATTTACATTCTCATGTTTATAGGAACATCCTCTAGTAGTACTTTGTAATTCATTTTGTAAAAAACAGTAAGTAGTCATCTCCTGTGAGTCGATTCTCCAAAATGAGAGAACCATTTAAATATCAAATATTAAACTATTGCAGCATAAAGTGACACTGACAAATATCCTGCTTTTGAACTTGGAACATGATATACTTTTATTTCAAAATTTTAAGATTTGTAATTGCGCTATAACATGAAAACAAATCAATATCGCATAAGAATTGTTTTTTTTATTATGAGTGTAGAACCATTCCTGGAGTTTGGTGCGATTCTCCCAGCTCACCCTGTATACAGGGTGTCTGGTAAGTATATAGGGGTGTATAGGGGAGGTCAAAATAACCTTAGTTTGTCATAAAAAAAAAATTCCTGAAGCACCCCTTAACGGAGATACAGAGCCCCAAAGTGGTACCCAGCGATTTACCTTTTCGGTTCTAACTTTTGAACCGACTTGTATAATGTAATGAAATTTTAATATTTTATGTAGGCCATAAAAGCTCATAAAACCATACTAGATGTTTTACATTGTCAGGGACGGACTTGCCACCACACTCGCTAGGCCAAAAATTTGACAGGTCATTTTACAGAAGTGAAAACTGAATTTTTAAATACTTTGATCATTCCTCTTTAAAAAAGGTAATCTACATTTCTGTTCTGAGATATAAAAAAAGATTATTCTTAGAGGCGGATTTCAGGGGGCTGTAACTCCGAAAGAGGGGGCCACTTGGCAAAAATAAAAAATACGGGTCCCCTAAATTTGTCTTAAAGAATCTGTGACCATTTTGATGCATTGATTTCGGGACACCCAGTACAAAAATTGAATTTTTTCAAAAATGGCCAATTTTATCTAAACAAATGTAGAGTACCATTTTTAAAGTGATCAAAGTATTTAAAAATTCAGTTTTCAGTTCTGTAAAATAACACCTGTCAAAATTTTGGCCTAACAAGTGTGGTGGCAAGTCCGTTCCTGACTTCCCTGACAGTGTAAAACATCTACTGTAGTATGGTCTTATGAGCCTTTATGACCTACATAAAATATTATTTCATTAAATTTATGTCTGTTCAAAAATTAGAACCGAAAAGGTAAATCGCTGGGTACCCATCCCTTCGGGGCTCTATATCTCTGTTAAGGGGCACTTTAGGAATTTTTTTTATTATAAGGTTATTTTGACCACCCCTATACACTCAAGAGTATGCCATATATTTACCAAACACCCTGTATATACCGCAGGGGCATGGTGGTATCAGAGAACACTGTGTTCTCTGATGGTGTTTTCAGCAAGTCCAAACACGTCCATTAGGACGTCTTTATCCTAATTATAGATACCGCTTTTTTGAGATTTTTTTGGACATTTTTGAATAAATATGTGGTTGTCATCAATTCGATATTAATTTTTCATGAATATTTGATAATAAAAAAAGGCTTATGGAAAGAACCCTGAAGAACTCGACTGGTTTGACTCTCTTAAATTCAAATGGCTTCATTTGTCGTGCAGACTACCAACTGTGCCATTCAAATAGCTACAGTAGGAAGAGATCTGCTATATTGCCAGGTACTTTGTTGCACGACTGCTGCCCACAGAGAGCGAAACATGCTTTTAATTGCCAGTGTTGCGAGAAACAACTACTCCGCGGGCTATATGCCCCGACCGGCATTGAATTATACTTACGAGTATAATTCAATGCCAGTTGTGGCATATAGCCCGCGGAGTAGTTGTTTCTCGCAACACTGGCAATTAAAAATCATTTCAGCACTTTTTTTATTCAACTCCGAAAGCACTGTGATACATGGCATTTTCAGTTTCTTCAGGGGGGTGTTTGCAGATCATCCCTACACTAACCTTTGAGGGCATAACAGATGTGGTTCAAATTTAGAAAATTTGTAATGTTATAATATTTTGGAGATTTATGAAGGGTAAAAATAAATAAACAGTAATTTATCGTAATATTATAATAATGTATAGTCACAATACACAGTATTTTTATATATGTACAAAATTTACAGTAATATATAGACATCACAATGTTCCCTATATTATTTTTGTAACGCTGGCTAACTTATCCTTACAGCTAAAAATACACTGTACAGAACATCTTAACGATAACTCAAAAAAAGCTTAAATTATCAAACTAAAACTATATATTCACATATATATTACATTGTAATTTAAAAAATGATTGATTTTTTATATAATATATGCTACATATTTATATATTATGTCTATATGCTTTAATATTTATAATAGCCATATTTTCAAACTACAAATTGGGTAACGTTAAATTTAAATATTTACAACTTTAAAGCTGTGGAAAACTTCGAGATTAGGTTGCGTTCTCTATCAGACACCTTCACACTCCACACGTGATAAACTAAAAAATTATGTTAACAAAAACTAAAAAAACTATAAATCGTAAAACTAAAGTGGGGAATGTGAACGCATAAGTTTAAAAAACAAAGTACTTAAACAATTTCGTTCCAAGAAGAAATGTTTAAGTACCTGTTTACTATAATAAATAAATAAACAACAAGTAGCGATATAAAAAATAAACTCTGGCAACGTAATCCCGAAGTTTTCAAATAAAGGATATTCTAAATTTAAATACCAGAAAAGAAAACCAGCACTCAAATAACATCTTTACAAATATTGCAAGGATGTTACATGAATTAATTTAATAATTTACAAGATATTTACGAAAATAAAGATCTTCTAAATAAAAGAAATTTCTTTACAACTAAGTTCAATATGAGATCTCTTAAATAGGTAGTAAGTTATTTTTAGCTTTTTTTTATTTTTATTTCAATAATAGTAAATAACGTTTTGTCAAGAAATCACAGTGAAACTTTTTAAATATTAAGTATAAAATCCATAAATTCTTTCCACATTTCGAGATTTTTTACCAAAATTAACTGATGAGAATTAGATCGTGGTTAAAGTCAAATCGTATTAGTTTCTCCGACAAACTCTGCGTCGCGAGAAAAACAGGACAGTACCAATAAATTTTCATAAACCCAAACATAAATATAATATGTAAATCACACTGTTGTTATGACTATGAGTAGGTGCGCTATGTCGGCCACCCTTTCAAGAAGACTAGGTGCTATCCTTCGCAGGTTTTCATTCACAAAATCGCACGACGGGAATATGTGAACAACATAAGCGGGCTGAAACAAAAAATTTTATTGGTACACATAAGTCCATCTAAAAATGGTTGAGTGTTAAACGACTTTGTATTAGTTTTCTTTTTGATATAATTTTATTGTTTTCTTAATATGCAAACAAAACGATAAACATTTCTACTGTTAAAAGAAATTTCTAAACAAGTGGCATAACACATGTTATCTTTCTTACATATTTGGAGCATATTTATCAAAGGAGTACATTTTAACGGCGTCGGTGCAGGTTATTCGTGTGTTTTCTTTTAGTAGTAATGATTAAACATATTTATTGCATTGTAACGTATTAATTTATATGAAAATAAGTATTTCTGTGATCATTAATGTGATTTAGTGCTATTGGAATGAATACACCTTTACCGTTGAGAAGATATTGACCTCTGAGGATGACTGTTAAATTTTGAAACTTTAACAATAATACATGATTTGCATTTATTGTTATCTTTAATCGGTAATAATATGAATTTGTTGAAAGCCCAATAAGGGCCCAACAGGGCGCCCTTAAAATGATATTGATTTTTTTAATAATTGGCATACTGATAGCCAATTATTAAATAGTATTACTGGAAATTTAAAAATAAAAGTATTGAAATTTTGTACGTTACTAACCCTTTCACTGCTCCAGACGTATATATTCACTAAAAATTTATAGGGCTCAGGCTGCTCAAACCGTATATATTTGCAACCATGCGCATTGTGTCTCGGTTATTGCAATTGGTAAGGCGAATTTTTGCGGCGAGCTCATACCGATTGTGACAAATATTTTTATGGAAAGAGGTACTGGTAATAATACCAAGATTGTTCATGTTTCTTTCAGTTTCTATTTAGTACATATACTGTATTTCATTAAAAAAAAAATCGTAAAATTCATCGTAAATCGTAATTTAACACAACATAATGTAAAACTATAAGTGGTCTAACTGCTCCAGACGTATATATTCGCACGCGATAAACTTTCGCGCACGACACGGTAGCTACGTTCAGACGTATTCCGCAGCGAAAGGGTTAAATGTGAAAAAAAAAAATTGTTAACACTTACAGGTTGTGTGGTACCAGGTGCAGCCACGTTCACAATGCCAGCTGCCTGTTTTTGCTGTAAATAGGTTATGAAGCCACTAGTTAGGTTAGTCGATTGTTTAAGTACGTCCATGTGATCGTGTCCACAAGGTAGAGCCAGAAGCATGCAGTGCTCGTTCTCCATCTGGAAAGATAAGTATAAACAGTTTAAAAAAAAATCTTTTCCTTACTTGATTTTTTAATTAATTATTCCACAGTCTGTTAAACAAGAGCACAAGTGCATCGAAATTAATATCGATGAAACGTATCACCGAAATAAACGCTTTAGCCCAGCTCTAGTGTAATTCATTGCTGGACAGGGCTTTGGTCCGTAGAGTGTTTCTCATAATGTCATGTATTTAGTTAAAAACTAACATTTGTGTTTCTGAATAGTCACAGACTAATGAAAGTTTGTTCATTTACCTGCATTTTTCTGGCAACTCCTTCGACTTGAGGCGGTTCAAGCCTCATCCTCTGGAAAATTCTGAGTGGTGGTGTTGATCCGTCTGTATTCTTAGGTAGACTGCACTTGGCTACGTCATCGTTGCCAGATACGAAGTACATCTGGACTGCGGCTTGGTCGTTTTTAAGCGCTAGTAGGCCCTGCCACATGCAAGGATATTGCTGCAACAAAAAAAATTCAATGTCCCCAAAATCCAAAAAAAAATCAAATGGTAATGGTAACAGTATTCAATTGAGGTTTTTGCTGAAGTAAAAGAAAGAAAATTAGTTTTAAACTGAATAAACAAAAGTACCTTTATGTTGATTTAATTTAATTTACCATCAGCAGTGATGTGACGAGAAATAATTGTGTTATAATACGTTTTTTAAACTGTACTTAAACTCATATACCACCACTGGATTGTATCAAAGCACTTAACTGTTACCCTTTTAAACCTTTAATGCCCGTTTGCACCCTAGTGTTTAATACAGGATTAAGTCTGAACTTGGATTAAATTATAACATTTTGTTTGCACCGTTTCAAATCTATGTATTAATCTAGGATTAATTTAAACCCTCAAATTTGACCGCTTAAACTTGGATTAATGAGAAAATATAAATTGACACTATTGACAGTACTTAGCTGCTAATTATAATTTTTGTAAGTAGGCATTTCTTCCTTTTCCTGTGGACTGTGTATGAGTGAGTGGTGTTAAGACATCATTGAGAACTTTGAAATGGATTCAGATTCTGACTTTGATGTATTGGATGATTTTGATATTCACGAAATTATAGACTTTGGATTTACTAGATATATTAGAAATGATCTATTTCATAATCTGGACAATATGACATTTTTCTGCAGATTTAGGTTGACAAAAGAGACCACATTACATTTGCTCACCTTAATTGAAGAGGAGTTGGAATATCCAAGCTTTTATTCTTAACATGAATTTGTATTTCTGGGAATAATAGTGTATCTCCCATCCAACAATTGGTTTTATGCTTGTGCTGGTCATTTGTCTGCTATTGCAGACTTTTCAGGGATGGACATATCAACAGTGTCCAGAATAATTGTACGAGTATCAATTGCAATAGCTCGGCTTTATCAGAGATACATAAAAATGCCAAACCCAGAAAAAATAGTGTGCAACATGAGTTCTATAAAATTGCATCATTTCCTAGAATGTTAGGTGTCATTGATGGTACTCATATTAAAATTTTGGTTTGAGAATTTGACTTTGACATATTTTTTTCCGAACATAACTGGTCATAAGTTAGCAGCATAATAATATCCCTAAACAGTATTCCCAAAGCCCAGTTTAATTTAATCTACAATCGGCAGAAAGTGGTGCAAAAGCTGATTATTAAAACCCAGTTTTAAAATTAAACCAAGTTCAGTTGAACTTGGCTTAAATCTAAATGGTGCAAACGGGCATAACTGTATGAAACTGCAATGTATTCATTTTGTAAAAACAAATTGTACGAGGTGTCATTTTAAAGTCGCCATATTTCAGGTTTGTAATAAAAAGCATGTTATTATTTTTCTAAAACACTTTAGATTGTGAATTTCAGTGTCAATGATATGATGACAATAGGGCACTGGCCAATGTTAATTTGCCGAAACGTGGATGGCCAAATATATCACTGCTTCATTTCATTGTATTTAGTTTATCTTCTCAACTTTGCATGTGATATGAAAAAAATACGTATCTATATGAATGAAGAAAGATGAGATTTGACAACAAATTATTAAGGTTAAAATAAAATTAGTTTTCACAACAGAAATTGTTGCATGGAGTTAAAAAACTGTTGCTTGACCTTTTTATTTAAGTTTTACAACAATTTTATAATTTTACCGTGAACAATCACAATTCTGTAGAAATTAAGATTATGCGGTTTGATGTCATTTATCGAATTACTTACACCTAGCGCTTTTTGCTGAATATAAGCACATGTCGCATTCTGAAGGCACAACCGCGATATACAGGGTGATTCACAACTTATCCAAAGAAATTTGGGAATAGATGCGTCATGAAAAATTAAGTCAATATCGTAAAAAAATGATAGATTCCGAGAAAAAAATTATTGAAGTTGTAGTATTTTCAACCTTTACATTGCTGGGCTACTGTAGTTTCTAGCGTCATTTGCCCACGTGACCCCAGGCGATCCCGATACTTAAATCTGATTTTATTATTATAATTGTTGCGACAGTGTTCAAAATTCAAGTGTCAAAAATGGTTTATGTGTATAGAAACTCGGAGTTGATGGATTCGTTTTAATTTATGGTGAAGCAAGACAACATTTGTGTTATTAAGAATTGTTATTTGAGAACTGAATCAAGTTTTAATTTTATGAACAAAATGCTGCGGCTGCAGAAAAAATGTACCCGCACCATTTCCACTTATGCATAAAATACCACAAAATTTGTTATATTCTTTCGAAGTAATGGCAATTAATAACAATAAATTTTATTGTTATTAATTGCATAAAATTAAGTAGACTATAAAATTCCATTCTTACCTTAAGGAGCATAAAGAGGCTCTCTGCCTGCGGTGGAACTTGGCTAGCATGCGGTGGAGTTGCAGCTTGCAGTCCTCTTTGACTAGTCGGTGCGTCAGCTCCTATATGACGTGCCACGGCTCCCATAAGATTTCCAGCTGCACCCAAGCCAGCGCCCATCAGTCCGTGAGCTGAAAGTGGTCTTTCGATTTGAGTTGATATTGGTCTATCGGCAGCGCCCAGTCCACCCATGTGGGCCGACAGTGCCGAGTGGCCGCTTAGCGGTCTGTCAGGCGTTCCAAGAGGTGCCATGTGCGCTAGACCTCGGTCGCTGCCCAGCGCAGCTAATGTGCTGTGGCTGGTCAACGGGCGGTGAGCTGGAGGGGGCTCGGTTTGGTCGTAGTATCGGTTGGAATGGTAGTGTTGCATTCGGGCTGGGTGGACGTTGTAAACTTGACCCACTTGAGGTGAATCTGCAAAAAATATAGTAATTTTAATTTATGAACATTCGTAATAATGTTTACTTTGTTTTATATTCTATCATTATAAGTTTTGTTTTGATAATTTAGGAATAAAATTTAAATAAAATGTCAATTAGCTGCTTCAATCATTATGTCTCGTTATATTCCAAATTATTTTTATCAATTGTTAAAATTTCAACACAAAATGCTGGAGCCCACATATGACATATGTATTTATGTATCAAAAATCTGAGAATTAAAATAGATAAAAAATATGTATATGTACATTTTTCTCATTTAAAAAAAAAAACGACAGTAAATACTGTTTAGAAAATTTTAAAACAGCAAATGACTCATAAAATTACGTTGCAGAAATATTTTACAGAATAATTTAAATGTGTTTGAGGAAAAAATTAAGAAAAGAAGATGAACAACTAAAACCATGACAAAAGCATAACATAAAAATAGAAGGAGAGCCGTAGAATAGGTAATATATAAAAATTTATAAATACTTAGTGATAAAAAGGAAATTCCCACAAAAACAAAATCCAAAATAATTAGAAATGTAATAAAACCAAAATTAACATAGAAATATGTTGTGGGCAAAAAACCAAATCCAAAAAGTAGACTAACGTATTGAAATGAAATTCCCAAGAAAAATTAAGAAGAGATAAAATTAGGAACAACACTCCAAGAACACTTAAGGACAAGAAACAAGTTTTTGAAGCCAGAAAAACAGGAAGAAAGAAAAGAAGAAGTTTTAAAACGAATACAAAGTTCGAATAGCTGAAGAAACGAGACAAGTAAAATTGGAGAAAGTAAATCAGAGGCAGAAGATAGAAAACAATGGAAAATAGATCCTGAACACAAACCCAACATAGTTTTACACGAAATTCAGAAAAGCTCAGGATTAAGTAAATGTTCGATAAAATTGATGCAAAAGTGTAACAATGGCAACTTTTACTCCTCAATAATATTCTGACATAATGTAAGATTGTATGCGCACAAATTCAAATATGTGTTGTCAGTTTCATGAAGTGATTGCGATTGATTAAGAAATTCTACATTACAAGAGGAAAAATACATGTTTGAGTCGTCACGAAATATGTGTACCATTATTGAATCTAAACGTTCCAGAAGCTGTGGATATTGCATGACGAGATTTGTAGTTTACATGAAATATTCTTTGGATGGATGAGCACTGGGTTTGCAAAAAATTTTTTAAGACGAGAAATAGTCATATTTAGGACCAAGAAAATTGACACGTTATTTGACCACTTGAAGCATGATGCCGGTTTTCGACAAATTTTTGGATAAGGCAATTAACACAATCAGATTATTTACCAGCATTGCTAACAGGTGGGTGCATTCTATATTTTCGAAATCCAACGCATTTGATGGGCTATATCATCAAGCTCGATTCAAACAGGCAGGATTTCCAGTAGTAGGCGACACATATTTAACATTTCTATGGCATATATTATTTGAACATTTGCCTTTATCCCTTATAGATGGCCTGGTTCATGCAAAACAAAGCACCTCCACATTTTACTTCATGCTTTTTAGAATGCTAAATATCTATAGATGGACTTATTAAGTGAAAATCATCGACAGTGCCACAAACATAATTCAGGAGCAAAGGGTTCAAGTGTAACCGTTTATACAAATATCTTATCAGCTAATTAATACTACAGTTTGAATATAATGCAAATGTTTGATGAATATTCTTATTAAGAATACCCATTTCATATTATCTTGAGCAAATTATATACATGGGGATCTCATATTTTATTTCCTGCATTTATCCCTGCTTTTATGAAAATGCTACGCTTGTGACTAAATACCGATTTTACCTAACATAACACCAAGAATATATTCTCAAGAAAAATGGTTAACTTACCAGTTGCCCTGTCGTGTGGAGAATGTAAACTGTGAGGAACAGAAGCGCCCCTTCCTGTAAGAGCAAGTCCTACTGATCCAGGACGTCGCAATTCCAATGGTGGAGAAGTGTCTGGAGCCTCTTCCCCTTCCTGACCATCACCCACTTTTTCAATACCAGATCTACAACAACGGACAAATAGTTAAATAAAAATACAGATAAAAAAATTCTGCTAACTTTTCTATTAAATAAGCAGAAATTATTTCTTACCTTGATATATGCTGTAATTGTTGCTGTCGCAAAAACTGTTGGTACTGCATTACATGTGAAGGATGCATATAGTGAGCAGGGTTTAGATCAGGCGGAGGGCGTAGAGGACCTGGTGGATAATGTGCGATCGCTTCACCCTACAAATACAATTATAATTAGCTTCTAGAACATTCCACTTCCGACTGTGGGGTAATATCATGCAAGTGGTTAATATTAAAACAGGCACAGGAAAAAGTAAAATTAGATATACTTTTATCCCTCCTCATTTATGGTTGCATTGTATCCATGCATTGCATTAAGGTTACTTTTTATCAAATGGTTTATAAAAAAATTAAAACTACATTAACCCACTGTCTCATTTGGACCTTAGTATTTGGGAATATCCGAAATGTAGCCTAAGAAGGATAAGTAGATATAGATTTAGAACTGTTAAAACAATATGGAATGACAGTAGTAAACATTCTCTATTTTAAATGGCACATCCTACGGGTTTTTCACATTTTTTGAGGAAAAAAATTTATTCCCTCTTGCACTCTGCACATTCCAAATAATGAAATTGTAATAAAAATATCTATTTTAGTGTCATTGCTAAGAAATAAATCTATAACTATAATTAAAAGATTGTCAAAATTAGAATAGCAGAACACACAAATTTTAAAAAGCGTTTTCTTTTCAGTCTCAATTTCATTGACATTCTCTAGATGAGATGGGTAACTACTACACCAGTAAATAAACACACTGTATATTATAATTAGTGCAATTATCATTTGTAAGTGATGTGTAAGTTTTTTTTATTTCTGCATCAAAACATGGTCACCCCAATTTGAGATTAAGTGAAGTTGGTCACCATAGGTATATCAAATTCAAGTATGAAAATGTAAGTGCTTCAAAACAGCTGTGTGCCTGAGCAGGCTCAGGCACACAGAGCAGATACCGCCAAGGTAGGCAAGAACCGTGAGCCTTCATGGTGGTTTGTGATTTGACAACAACACAACAACACTCAGAGCACTGCAGCTTTGATTGTTAGCCACCGTGAAGACCTGCATTGGTCACACACCACAGCAAACCTTCTTCTGTGCACCATAGTGAAGAAAAGGGCAGGGCCCTGATTTATATTTATCTGGATAGTAAAAAGGAACCTTAATGAATACCCAAATCAAATAAAAGTTGCATTTTCACAAATTTTTGATCGTACATGAAACAAAAAGGAAAAACTTCTACGTGTCACAACTAAACATCGAAAAAATGTCAAAAATCACCTTAGGTGATGGCAAATTTTGGTGAGCCGGCGGTGGACTCCAGCTACGATTAAGTAGGCTTCGTTCTCCATGCTGCATGTTAGTGAGGAAATGGCGTTAGTTATATTCAAACGATATTAGACTTGATGATATCTTAAATAGTTACTATTATTCTGCATTTTATTATAAAAACACCAAATCAACTAAATTTCAGCATCATTTGCTGTAATTATTAGGAGACTTTTTATAAAAAAAAAAACATTTAAAAATTACTATGGTAATGAAATAGTCTTAGAAAAATAAGGAACAAGAGTCAAAATCATTCATAATCATAAAAAAGATACATGTGTGCATAATTCTCTAATTCCTTTTAGAATTGAAAATATATATTAAAAAATATACAGGGTAACTAGAAAAGAAGGGGCCATACTTCCTTGGATGAAAATAGACTGAGATCAGGTTACTTTAGTACAATTTTACTTCATTTAATTTTTAAGACATTTCTTAAAAAATATTACACAGAACGGTTTTTGGGTTAGCCAAATATGAATATAAATTTAGTTTTCTCCTCATATATGCTATGTAAGGATATGGCTATTGAAAATGTCATTTTCATCTTAAAGAGAAGAAAATGAAAATGTCGAATATATTATTTTCTTAATTAAAACATGAAACTGACTTAAATTTACATGATTTCAATGGAACATGCTTTGTATTATATCTAAAAACATTTAAAAAATTAAAGTAAGGTGATAACAATTGTCCTCTTTTAGTGACAGTGACAATTTTGAACAGAATATGGATATAACTAAAAGAATAATTAATAATTTGCTGTATTATAGTTCATTTTTAATGGCATTGAGCTAATAATTAAATTTGTAGACAAAATCCAATCGAGATGAAATAGTTTTTAAGAATGAATGAATTGTACATGAATTTTAGATAAAAAATTAGTTTATATTCATATTTGGATAATGATTTCACTCCAGGAAGTTAAGCAATATTCTTTTCTAGGCACCCTGTATATTAGGATATGTACTTAAGTTGCATTTACATTGGATATGAATTAAACAAATTCTTAACAAATTACTTCTAGTAATAGAGTGGATTGAATCTGTGTTACGACAGTTTTCATTTTACTTCTTACAGTTTTGCATGTGTCTTTCATATCTTTTAAGTTAAATCCATTATTATTTTCAAGTTTCGTGAGTTTTGTACGTTAGAAAATTACCCTGTTACCTTCCACCCAAGTGGAAAATTAATCTGGGTTGGAAAGTAAAACTATCACTGTCAAATTTTAACATTTGTTTGTCATTACAGTTATTATCGTAACATAAAAATTTAAGATTTTAATCCTTGTACTTCTTTTGAAGAAACTTTAATCTCTTGTGCTGAAGCATTAGTTGAACTTGTTCCAGACTAAATGACAAATAATAGCTTTGTTCGTAAACCTTCCACTGCTGCACTAGTGTAGTAATACGTTGTTCGTTTATTGCAGTGTAGCCAAGTGCAGGTATAATCCAGGTGTTCGAAAAGTCCAGTGTAGTGTAATAGTGCAGACACTANAAACATCTTGTAGCTAAAAAAGGTGAGGCAGCAACCCCATACGTTACAGTTAGTAGTTCAAAGCAGTTCAACTCGTCACATGTCTCAGAACGCCAAAATATTCTATGAAAACGCGTATGATCGGGACTTAAAAGAATCTGTCGGTACATCTTCGTTACATCCGCATTTATCACAAAAGAATATTGCCGAAATCTTAAAAGAATATCAAAAAGTTCGCTTTGTACTGTCGGGCCAGCTTTATGCATATCATTCAGTGATACGCCACTGTCTTTCTTCGCGGACGCGTCAAAAACTACGCGAAGTTTCGTTGTCAAACTGGATTCTTTTAGTACAGCATGGTGTGGTATATAATATGCCCCACTGTCACTAAGGTTTTCTATATTATCTGAGAGTTTTCTCATATGGCCTAGACTTTCATATTCTGACATAAATCGTGAATATTGTTCTTTAAGATCTGTATTTTTTCCTAATTTTTTCTCTAATAAATAAAATCTTCGAAGCGCCACGTCTTTCGAATCACATAACCGATCTTCAGCCTTGTCAAAAGGTATTTTTACCACAAAACGTCCGGTAGTAAAATCTCTCTCAGTATTTTTTACAAAATGTTGTTCGCAAAAATTATCAATTTTCGGAATGTCTTCACACTCTTCTATACGCCAAAATTTCTCGAGACTTTCAGCCGCTGTGTCAATACAATGGCACGNAATATTTGATTTTACTCTGAAATGGCTGATAAATTTGCCTTCCTCACAGTTTCGAACAAGTTCTATAAAATTTGTAATGCACTTTCTTTTATTTTTTTGGAAACAAGTCTCCAATAAAACATGAATTTTTCTTTTTTTACGAAGGTAATCTTCAGCATCTAATTCCGATTCGCTTCCAGTCACTAAATAATTCACTCATCACAAATATTTTCTCCATGATTTACAATTAGATTATGCCAGTTTAAGTTTACCCAAATTGAATTAACGAACAGCCAAATGTTTTCTCTAAAAGTGGTGCACAATTATTATTTTAGTGTAACACTGAATTCCACTACACTACACTACACTACACGTTATGTAGGTTTACGAACAAAGCTAATGATTCATCATATTTCGCATTGCAGCGACAAAGAACTGTTATTAATTTGAAACTTGTTTATTTAAAATTATTTACAAACCTCGAAGAAAATGTTCATTCACGTTTCAAGATAAAGTCTAAATCAGTATCAGAATCAGTAATGGATAACTTTCATAGTATACCATTTTTTGATAGTAGATTGTTATAAACGTTTTGCGATTTGCATGAACTTAACTGATAAAAATGAACCAATTTAGTTGCATAAAAAAATAACGTAAGAATAGAGCATAGGCTGTGTAACCTCACACATGGTGAACATACATTCATTTTAATCTAACATTTCATATGGATAGATTTTTGTATGAATTCACATCCAATGTAACCACCACCATAATCGATTAAACATAATTTTAAAAGGATGAGAAACGTCAAAAACAAAATGTGAAAATTGTCAGCATAATATCAGAACTCAAAACAATATTTATACATTTAAATGAAATGTTTTTTTTTTCAATAATATTTATTTACTTAGGTGTTTCTACAATAATAGGGTAATTTCCTTTTTAACTACATCATTAAATGATAATAGATTAAAAAATATGTCACCCATATTTTTTCATTTTGATCTCATTTAAGCCCTAGAAACATTTAAGGCATGGGTTGTGACATCTTTAAGCGCAAAGAATCAACCACTTAATACATAGACATAAACAAGGCTAGAATATGTTATAAAAAATAATAATAGTAAATACTGGCTTCTAGATTTAAAAAAGTGGTTTTGGCAAAATCGTCTAACCCATAAAATATAAATTTTCTAGTTTCCAAATATGATTTTAACTGATATGTTAAACTTAAATGTATAAATTAATGATCAATCATCTAATTTGTAACAAATCTCCGAATCTGACAATATAAGTTTAATTCATGCCATTTTTTCCGTAAATAGCAATTTAACATATCACACTTCATATTTGACTAATATGACAATACTTTAGCGTTTAGATTTTAATTGAATTAAATTAAAAAAGATAATAGTTAAAAGTATAAAACATTTTCTAGGAAAGTATATAAAATATATAATGAACATATAAAGTCCAAACATTAATTCTAACACACGCCGTTAAACGTGAGCACCAATTAAATACTGCCTGCAACACCACTGTTCTTTATAAAGCCAATGTATTACTGAAAAAAACGCAGCTGCTTCTAGCAGAAGACATAGAATCATTGGAAGTCATTAACAGTTAGTGATTTCCCTAATTTTTTCCTTA